GTACGCACAACTTAAGAACAAATCTGTGCGTACGAACGGTTCTTGCATGAGGCCCCATGTTTGTATTTCTACTTACCATGTATTTTCTTTGCCTTTGTTCCTATATAAACTACACCTGGACCAACCATTGTGTGTCTGCCTCTCTTTACTTTCTCATTTTGGTTTGGTCTGGCACTAAAAACTAAACTGGATTAATTGCTTGTTTAACTGCATCAACCTGAATGTAGCTCGCTCAACACGTTTGTCAAAAAGTGAATGTCAGGCAAGGAAAGTGAAACAGTTTGGAGCAAGAGTTTTTCATGGGTGTGACTAAATTTTTACCTGCAATTAAAAAGCATATATAGCAAACACATCTGCCACAGAGCTGCAACATTTGCCCAGAGTTTCTCCTCTAACATTCAAACGGTAAGAGCTGACTTTTTTCCCCATATTTTTTTTATCCTTTCAGGCAATTAGAAAAAAAACATTTCTTGTTCATTTGTTTTGAATTTCTCTAGCTGAGTTTAAATTGAAACATGACACAGACATGCAAAAGCTACACTGGGTTATTGAGAACAGTTTGACTTGGATCTGTTTTATTTAAGCAAAAACACAAAAGCTGGTTGAAAACAGATTACTTTTATTACCCATTACTTTAAGTGAAAAATCTAAAAATGACTAAATGTGTACTGTATAAACAGAGTTCTGATGAATACTGTCATGCAAACAAATTAACTGTCTTCATAATTTTCCTTATAACTGTATGAAATAGGAAGAAAGGAGAGAAGGCTTTGACTAAAAAAAGGAAATATCTAGGGGAAGGTATTTGTTTCTCTGTGTTCTTCTAATTTGTTGCACCTTAATCTTATCTGTATTCTCCAACCAAACCACCTCCTACTGCAGCACATCCAGTAAGAGCACCAGGATTTCTTTCATYGCCATGTCAGACTTTGATGCATTAGGCCCTGTCAGTGAGGAGTTTCTGAAAAAGCGCAACGATGAGAAGGCCCAGCTGCAGCTGTTGAACACTCGCTTTGCCTCCTACATTGAGAAGATCAGCTCCTTGAAGCTACAGAACAAGGAGCTGACCTTGGAGGTAGAGAGTTTACGRAGTTACTCCTCAACAAGCATTACTGAAATGCAAACGGAGGAGACGAGCAAGCTGGTTAATGAGAACAAGGACTTACTCAGTGACATAACATCTCTCAAGGTGGAACAGGACAAACTAAAAAAAAGGTGGGAGGGGCAAATATGTGTTTCTTTAAGAAAAGTGGTGAATATTTACTGCCTTCAGAATCATGTCTGTTTGTGTGCGTTTGTTATTTCATTTCTTTTTACTGAAGGAAAGACTAAAGAAAAGCTGGTTTTCTGTGAAATTTAGATCAATACATTTTAGWGGAAACAAGGTCCAGTTTAGGTTAAGTAACTTGGAAGCAAAAACAWTTTCACCATTGACCTTTTTAATTTTACAGATTAATATTTAGTTAAGGGATTTTTGATTTGGGCGATAAAGTTGTTATATACACTCACCGGCCACTTTATTAGGTACACCTGTCCAACTGCTCGTTAACACTTAATTTCTAATCAGCCAATCACAT